ACATTCTACAGTTTTCTCGAACCTTAGCTGTTTTGGCCAATAATCTCAGGACCATATTCCCCATGTTTTTAGAAACTGCTCCCATCGATTTTGTCTTTATTACTCATGTCAGAGGTAAAGCCACATTTGTACTTGAAGGGTTTGTACTATCCAATGAGTCTTAATGGTGCAAGGTCTCCAATATCCCATCTGAACTGTCATTCTTTTAGTAATCTCAAACATAAATAAACAACAGTATAGTCAATTACAAAATAACTGAGCTACTACGCGCGCTCTCATTGGTCGATAGGTGTGTTTAGATGAGAGTATGTAAACTCGGTTGTGATGTTTTAGATTCGCGCGTATTTTTGACAATTATTTTGTAAAAGCAATAAAGCACTTTTTCCGTGTTTACATAGCCTCATCTAAACACTAGGGGGATTGGGAGAATTCTCGAAAGTTATGCAAACCCGACACGTAGTAGAGGGTTTGCATAACTGTCTCGGATTCTCCGAACTCTCCTCGTTATTTCTTTGACATTAAATGTTACGCTTTGTCCAGTTCACAAAGGCTAAAAGCAAGTTCATTATTTTATTCACATTATCTCTCAAATGAGAAGACTTCGTTCTATTTTACATGTAAATGAGGCAAGTGCATTGGTGCTAAGCCAGTTAAAAAAAGTAGAGAACATTTGATGTTATTATATCTTGTTACACTTTCTTTCCCTTGTACGCTTCGGCAATTTTCATTGCGCGGCTGGCTTTTTCAGCGGCTTTTCTGGCTTGTAACATTAGTTCTTGAGCTGCAGCTGCGGCATGTTTGGCTTCCTGGGCAGCGGTTATTGCCGCCTCTTCTGCAGCATGGGCCATGGATTCGTCTGAAGAAACAGATTAAGATTTCACAGATTAAGGGTGCGTTCCGCTGGAGTGGCTGGATCAGGATCAGTGATCCAAGATCACTCGGATCATGGTGCATCAAAGGAAGCGATAAATCCATGACAAGAGTGAATTCATCGGTTCCTTTGATGTACCATGATCTGAGTGATCTTGATCCTTATCCTGATCCAGATCACCCCAAAGAAAAACACCCTTAGATTACACAGATTACACAGATTAAGATTATATAGATTAAACTGATTTTAGAAGATTTTATAGATTGCTGCGTGACCTGAGAAGTTGACTGACTTATCATAGGACTTCTACACCCGGTTTAGTTCTGTTTGAAAAGGCATTGCTTAGAATGAAAAAATAGGAAGAAAGAAATGTAAATAAAATGCAAATACATCCTCACCAGTCCTCCGATTAGGGCAGTTGTGCTCATCTTTGTTGTCATTGCAGTCATTTATGTTGTCACACACCCAGGTCAGCGGTAAGCATTTCGCACCTTCGTCACAGGAGAGCTTGTTAGACTCACAGACTTTTGGAAAACAGCGTGGGAAAAACAAAACAGCAAGTGTTAAGTTAGGTAGAGACACTTGATTTATACCTTAAATAACATTGAATATTGAATAATTTGCTGAAATAATATATTAATAGATAATAATATGAACAATTTAAAAATGTTTAAATAATTGAAATAATTGAAACAATATGATGACTCCTTCAATTTCTTTGAGTTGCTATCTTTCATCGGTTGCTACAAATAAACAAAGTTTGGAATGACACCATACAAGAAAAAGTGAACCTGTACTCTAAAAAGCCACCACAATTGGTCGTAATTTGTACGGCAAGGTCGGCAACGCAACTCAAGTTGATGAAATCTTTTATGTGATGTAGGTTGACAGACATTGAAGTAGATTTTCGAAATAAAGGAATGAGGCAGTAGAAACGACTGTTGGTTATCTGCAGTGTATAGCAACTAAAGTTCGCTTCGAATTGCTGCTGAATAGAAGAACGAAATAAGCTGTTTCAGGCTAGTTTGGTAAGAAAGACAGAAATATAATACTTGAAACTTCTGATTGTGATAATTAAAGAGCGACAAGCTCTAGTGTATTCCATAGCTACGAGAGCTAATAAACAAGCCGAATACTAAAAATGTGCTAAGTTATTCCATATTGCCAAGCATTTTCTCTTGATATTACTTATTGAAGTGTTTACTTACAGTACTGTGAAGAAGTAATGTAAACGAATTTCGTCGAATTTCGCTTTTTGTTCTCACAAATTTCGTCGAAATTTCGATAAGATTGTTCCGAATATTCGTAAACCACTAATGTCTTTCGAAACGAAAATTCGCCGAAATGGAACGGCGAATAGTGCACGCATGTTGTCATAACCACCTACCAGTATTGAGAGGGCAATTTTTCTCATCTGTGCCATCTTGACAATCATTCATGCCGTCACACAATGAACTCAGAAGTAGACATTTGTCACCTGCGTCACAGGAATATGTACTTCTAGGACATCCTAAGAGTTAAAAGAAGCGAATTATGATTATATTTAGAATCTCCATTAAAGTTCCGTACTTTAGAATTTACCATCTTAACAGCCTTTTGCGAGAACTGATTGATTAGGTTAGTAGCTCGACGCTTCCAATTAATCTTTAAGGAAAACGTGTAGACTGCTATCGTTTAACAATAATCTATACAGGTGTGAAAACTGGGTATAATCGTGCCTGCAAGGATGCTAGCGCTTCGCTGGACCAGTATGAAAATGGAAAAGGAACACAATTTTTCAGGCCCGTGAGAATTCGATTGTGGCAACAAGGGTTTGCATGGAAAATTATTTCATTGAAATTTTTTTTAGATACAGTCCTCCAGTCTAATGATGAGAAATAACTACAAGAGTTGCAAGAAACGTCCTAGTACATATATAGTGTAGAAGACTTGCATACCAAACCATAAAATTCGTCCCATAGTTTCGTTCTTGGATGCATTTTTCTGAACCACCTTAGAATATCACCCTCGGCCGTAAAACTTTCTAAAGATGCATTTAAACATACATATATTTTTCAGATCGCTTACCACCGACAGTGGATCTGTTGGGGCTGTCTATAATGTCCTGAGCTTTTCCAATTTGCTTAGCACTGGCTGCGAAAAGAAAAATCAAGAAACAAGCGCACACTGTTGGGCTACTCACTATCTACAACAGAATAGATAGTGAGTAGCGCAGCCAATCAGAGAACGACATTCGCGTCAGAACACTAGGAGATTTTTACTAAAGGGACGTATTAAAAATACCCTATGATCTGTTATCAAGTCGAGCTTATCTGAAAAGAAAAATTCCGAGGTCTTTCGCCGGAAAATAGTGTTCAGTTATAAACTTCTACCTTATTAGTAGATATTGACTTTTATTCACCTGTGGTTCCTGTGACAGCAATAGACAGTACGAACGTCAATACGGCCCAATGCATCATCAAATAAAACCTATATTGACCTATGAATAACAGAAGGCATTGCTAACGGCAACTTGAATGAAAGAAAATGGGCGCCGTCTTAAAATACATTAATTAAAAAGCTGCGTTCAAGTTTTAAAAGCCATCTTCAAAATCGGGCTACATGAACTTTGTTAATAAGCTACGTAATGCATGTAGTCGAGCAAAAAATAGAAAATCATTTATACCGTTTAATTAATATCTTCATGTATAATAATAATGCACATTTCAAAAAGGTGAACCGGCCGGGAAATAGAAAAATTCGGAACTATTTCGGGACCTCCACTGACGTGTGAAAATGGCTGCTCGTTTCCATTCGAGATTGAACTCTACATGACGACCTGTAAATTAGTTCAGCAAACCAGAGATATCACCCGCTAGTATTTTTAGCAAAGGCCTGGCTGATCTAAACTGAGGGACGTGTTAATCGGTGATGTTGGGCTATGGTGATCCTATGACTTTAGAGAGAGTTTGACTCAAGGTTTATTCCTCGTTAGACTATCGAGAAGAGTCTGGGTGAAGACTACCTGGTTTAAAACTGGTGGCCAGATTGTATGAGCAGGTAGTTATCGCGCCAGAAAAGATGAAGCAGTTTCTAATAGTAAACATGAGTTAAGATGTTGTTTTCATCTACAGTTAGAAGCTCTTAACTTTATGATAGTGCTATAACTGTAGTGCGCAAAATGAAAACCAAGCAATTTTGCCATTGAGAGAATTCAAAAACTATGTAAGCTTCGACAACTTGCTTTAGCTAAATGCGCCATGCATAAACCGGATAAGCAATAACTTAAAATAAATAGACATTTCCTTGCGTAACGTATGCCAGAATGGTTCGATTTCTTTTGTTCTAGCAGCAGTAAAACTATCAAAATGACACAAGCCAGATTTTATCCGTTATCTTATTTATCGGTTTTAACGATTATTTTTAGTGCAATGACTAAAGCCATGCAGGAGGCGGAGCGCATCTTAAAAAAGACATTTTACTTCGACAGTATCGGTAAATTTTGAAGTTAATTGAAATTTAAAAGGAAGAGAATAACATACGCATACACACAGCAAAATTTCCACTTACATTAGCTCGCAGAAAACGCAAATCACCACATGTTGTACGCGACGAGAAGTCTCGTTGACCTGTACATCGATGGTAATCGCAAATTAAGATATTTCCTTCTCGGCCAGTTTACATTTCCAAGAAAAGAACTTTAAAAACAGTTCTCAATAAATATTACATCAAAGCGACGATTTCTTACCTTAAAAAGCCTAAAAAGGAATCAAAGTTCCTTTTTCCGAGAGTATAGTGCAAGATTCGATAAATTTGATATTAATCTGTTATGCATACGTTATTTCCCTGACGTTCTGATATGAATTTCTGACGGATCAACAGGTGGTTATATAAGTAGAATAAAGGACCTCTTCATTATCCCGGGGAGTTGGTTTAAGGGGTCATAAGCACAATAATTGCTCATTACTCAGTCGGAAGTTGCTGAACACCAAAAAATATTTCAGTCTTATTTAAAGAGTATATTATTTATTTTCAAGACATTACACAGTTTTTACTTTAATACTGAAATGGCGAGTTATCTCGACTTCGGAAGACTGAGGATATATCTCTACTGTAGACCTTATGAAGTGGACCCTCTCGTCGACAGTCGCGCTTGAAATGCTCTATCCAATATGCTGTTGCAAAAGAAGCTCACTACAGGTTCATGGCACGATCATCTGACCCTTGAAACATGCTTGAAATAATCGAGACACAACTTAGCAGGCAGAACAAATCTGGTCTTTTGTTTGTGGGTAAATTGAGATACGTTTTGTTCTCTTTCAGCGTTTACATGTATGACAAGAAGACAAAATTGAATGAAAAGTACACCTTTCTAAGTCGTATGTTGATTCACATGTCTTACCATAGCTTACATAAGTGACTGCATTTATGAAAACCATGTCAGTATTCCGCACCAAAAGAGGCATATGCACTTTGATTTCACAACTCCAAAAGGCTTTAAAATCACTATAAGCATCGAAAAAAGTACAGAGAGGAGAGCAAGAAAAGGAAGATAAGAGAACGGAGTAAAAAAAAAAAAATTCTGATATTCGTTTTAATGTTTATATTGTCTACTTTGGAGAGTAGGCGCGATCTCTTTAACACTGTTTTCAAAAATCCAGACACGTATGCAAGGCTACTTATCAAATTGGAACAAGGAAGTACCGTTTACCATGATGATCTCGAATTTTCAAGTGCAATGCAAGGCATGAAACGACCACGGCGCGCTTGCAACATGAAGCTTTTGATTAAAAGTTTAAACGCACCACAAAACCTAACAGTGGTGTTATGCTTGATTGCGCATGCGAAAAAAATAACATTTTATTGATAATAATTGTACGTTGACGGTTTGGCTATTATCCTTTACTCGCTACATGTACTTTATTTGACAACTTAACAGCTAATCAAGCGCAAAAATTGAATTAAAGACAGCAACCTATAAGAGATTCTTCGTACAATGGAGCCTGCTTGGGGTTAGGTTTAGGTTAAACTCTCAGAAACTTTTCAAGCAAACCTTGTCTGTTCTTTGACACTCACGGCATTGCAATAGGTAGATTAGGAGCTTGTCGACGGCGTTCTACGCCTCGTCCTGGCTGACAGGTCGACCGCGGCTCGACACTTTGACAACCTTCGAGTATATCACAATAGGTTTTGCTCGTAAAGAGTATATAGTGAAGCCACCAGCGGTAACTTAGTTTATGACAGTATTCTGAAAAAAACTTTGGTATGCTCTATGTTAATGTGATTGGGGTTTAAAACAACGCGATGCAAACGCTTACTTGAACAAAAAAAAAGAAAAAAAAAAACAAAAGACACGTAGCCGAAAGGTACTGTACGGGAGCTATACGAATGCGCAATAGAAACTCGCAGTACTGTGGTGTGGTTGAACGTAAGCCTTTGGTAATTCGCCGTTTCCACATCCCCCATAATAGACCTTGTTTGCCCCCCAAAATTCTGCATAACCTTTGTTTCCCATTTCYCCTGGGTATTACAGTCGTCCCAAGAGAAACTGAAGACAATGCTTATGCAAAATTTTGGGGAGCAAACAAGGTGCATTATGGGGGATGTGGAAATGGAAAATAGGCCAGGACTACTGTTTTTAAGGAAACTGATATTTCAAAGAATCATTTTGCTACATAAACATTGTCTGAATGGCGTTCACCGCCACTTCCTCTGCTTTCGCTGCAACTTTGATGGTCTGCAAGGCCCATAATGCTCTCTTGACCGAAATATCCTGGGCCTTTTGTGCTAGTTCCGAGATCTCCAGGGAGGAGCGCGCAGCCTCAGCTGCAGCGACAAGTGCGGTGGTCTGGGCAGATGTTGCCTGCAACAGTGCTAAGGAATAAATACAACCATTAGATGGATTTCAATTGGGTATCTTAAAACTAAGACCAATCAAAAAGGACAAGACCAATCACTCCGGCCAATCACAAAGGACACACACAATCCAGTGAACCAATCAAAACTCGAAGTAATTACACGTAACTGACGTAAAGCGTGGGAAAACGAGCGCGAGCGAGTCATGATTGGTTTTGGTTTTACTTCTGATTGGATGAAAAAATAAAGAGAGATTATTAAGACAATCGTGTAGCGTAGTTGATGCAGAACCAATTAAATTTCGGCAGCTCAAATGAAAAACGCTCTGTTGCTAGGTGTTTCAGCTCTATTATTTAAGAGGGAGCAGAATTTCCCTACAACCTTTGTGATTCTTGGTGATAAAAATCACTTGACTGCTTGTTTCAGTCGGTGACACTTCGCTTCAATTTTTTACGAGTTAAGTTTGTATTTTTAACTCAGGCAGTTTTGAACAGGCAGTTGTTTAAAAAAAAAAATGCTGTCGGCTCCAATGAAGATAAACGAAATCGCCTCATTACATAGTACTTTTTGATCTTTATTGGGGTCAAAACCCAGTAATATGCTCTGTTATACATGTCATAACACATATTATATGTCATTGCCCATGTTTCCTTTTAAAACCGTACTTGCAACATCAATTGACAGTAATCATGAGTTATTTAACCCTGGAATGACTCTCACCTGCTCGTGTTAACTTCATGTCATGTGATGATAAGCTCTTTTTGTGACTTATTCGATTTTTCTTTCCTTTCCCGTAAAACTGTTCATAAGTGTGGTCTAGACATTTGAAAAATAAAGAAGTGTTGTCATATATTTTTATGCACGATTTTACTAATAGAAATAAGGAAAGATTGCACCAATAATAAGTAAAATAAAGTTCCCAGCTTAAGGAGTCGCTATTTTCGGAGAAGAAACTGTTTGCTGTTGCTGAGGGTCTGGATGGAGATGCTGACATCTCAGTTAACAGATAACTTTCTGCCAATTTCTCAGCTGTTTGTTAAAACTTTCATTCCATTAACCTGCTATCATTTAACCTTGAAACTCCCATATCTCAACTATCAGTTAAAAAGGTAGGTAGGTAAAGTCTGCGTACGAGCCAAGTGGCCCATCAGGCCGGAGCTTATCCCTGTTTCTGTAGCATGAAGCCACTAGGAGTATTACCCCCCTCCCCTGGATGGGATGCTAGTCCATCGTAGGGTTACCTCCAGCATTAAGCTCGCCGGTACCTATTTATATACCCTCGGTGGAGAGAAGCACCGTGGGAGTAAATTGTTTTGCCCAAGAACACTACAAAATGTTCCCAGCCAGGGCTCGAAGCCGGACCGCACGATCCGGAGACGGGCGCACTAACCATGAGGCCATCGCGCCACCCTATCGGTTAAAGAGCGCGTTATTTTTTAGGTCCAATTCTAAGCTGTCAGTTAAACCCTTAGGCTAGCCAGACCCTCCAAGTGGTGAATCAGTTTGGGTAATCAGTCCACTCTTGTACGATCGAATAATTAGAAGTACAGTGAAACCCTGCCTTACGGTCACTTCGTTAATACGGCCACATTTTTTTTTGTCCTGGCGAAACGCCCATACTTTTTTTTATTATGAGAAAACCACGTTAATGCAACCACCCCGTTAATACGGCCAACGGCCACATTCTGAAATCCCAACCTGTTTAATCCTTAATAATTTTACCCTGTTTATACGGCCACTTAAACCAGTTACGTTCATCTTTCCATTGTTAATATTGTATGCACTGATTGAAGCTTCAATTTTTTTCAAAATAATATGTGCATTCCGGATGCTTGTTATAGAGCAGTCGTTAATTGTGATATATATGTGTGACGTCACTCGATTTAGACCAGTCATGAAATATGACGCTATCTCGTTAATATGGTCAAATTTGCAGGACCAGTCGGTGACCGTATTAACTGGGCTTCACTGTACAAATATGTATCTACCGATTTTAAAACCAGCTTGGTTCATTACAGTGCCATCGTTAGTTAGCTGCAAGAGCTCAGTGCAAATAGGTTTTGGCAGAAACGTCTGTCTCAAACTTAGCTTTGGGATGCAGATAATTATGTTACCTTTTATGGCGTTAATCTTTTCATACCCTTGTCCAGGTGGAGGTCGAAAGAATGGTGATACAATAGCTCTGCTCTCTGTGTGATCAAAGATACGAATTAGTAAATAGCTTAGGATAACAATCGATCATTTCAAAAGATAGAAATAGTCCAACATTACCAGAAACATTTGCTGGGTGGACAAATTATAAATGGCTGTTTTGAGAACGGTTTTGCTTCAGAAGCGTAAAAGGTTACGTTAAAATGCTGAAAGGTATTATTCGTAATAGTAACTTACATCTTTTTTATCAAAATCCACGATATTTAGCGTAAAGGAAGGACAGATCAGGAATATTCATATTTACGATCTTTTCTTCCATCATGAACTTCGATCAACCAGCGGTAAACTACCACTAACCATAGTACCTTTCTGTATTGTCGCGTAAGTTTTATGTTTTTGAAGGGCAACCAGCTGTAAGTTAAATACAGGAAAAAAATGCTACACACGATCCTTCAGTCTTAAATGAGTAAAAGTAAGATCCGCATACAAGCCAAGTGACACAGGACCGCTCGATCCGGTCAAACGAGCGCACCAACCATAAAGCCACCGCGCCTCCTACCTTCAGTCTTACATACCACGTTTGAAATCAGGGCGACACATTGTCAAAATGACTCAATGTATTTTTCATCACTACATGTAACTACACAGCCATACACTCTTTTTGTTTTATAAGAATCTTTTTTATACGAATATTGAGACTAAAATTGGCGAAATTTTGAGAACATGTTAAGCATATAGTCAAGGCTGAGATTTTTTTAACAACACTTTTTCATTCTGAAAATAGAACCACATAAAATATGAAACATGGTGCGTTCTTTTTCATACATCTGGTATTTCAATTCCTGGTCACACCCGTTGCATTTAACTGAAGTACATG